AACAAATGATTCCTTTTTCGAACGAAAAAAAAACCTGATAAGTCATTTAATTTTCTTATCGGCCTAAATACAGTATCTCACTATTCTCCACAATGTATTTTTGCAATTGTCGAAAATCAACCATTTAACTTGTTTGAACCATAGATAAAATCATCCCGTAGGCCTCCTTATCTAAACGCTGCTGTACAGATCACTTTCTAACTCATAAATAATATTGTTTGCATTCAAAGAGAAAGCAACCTACATTTTCTTTAAATATTGCTTTCACAAGACGAGATACCGGTATTGCTTATACATACATGACTTTCTGTCCAAGCAATTGTTGGTTCTTTCATCTAACACCTCTTTTTTTCAGTTCACCTTTGTATTGGATTATTGGCTTGTAGGAACCAGTTCTTGTTGTTTTGCATTTAACTTTCAATCATCTGATTTGACAAAAATTATCTCCCAATAGTTTACATTCATTATTATGGAGGCATTCACAATTCTATTAAGTATTACAAATTATTATGAAGTTTTGGTTGCTTTATGTTTAATTGGCAATTGAAATCATGTACACGCTTGAACACAGTTAAACTATGGTACAGTGTCATAAGGCCTAAAAAAATAAATTGATTGTTTGCCCTTCTTTTGTTAACATGACAATTATGGTGGAAAAAGGTCTTTTTTCGAAGATAACTCATTAGGTAGAATAATAATAACCCACAGTTGACATTTAGCAATGAATGTAGACCTAGAATGGCAATATCTTACATCAGACAACAAATTTAGACAACTTTGTAGGGCATCTGGCAAAATATAAAGATCAATTCATTCACATTTTTTTTTAATTTGTGGAGAAAAAAGCTAAAAAACCCCCCTTATCTAAAGTTTTTTTAAAGTTAGCGGGCGGGTGAGGAGGGGGAAAACAAACAATTTTAATTTTAGGCCTAATTTTGAAGTGATCAAGCAACTCCCATCGAAGTTCACTGCAGGAGTCTCTTTCTTTACAGCATTTCTAGGTGCTTCTAAGTAGCCAAGCTTTTCCAAAATGGTCTCCATCATAATAGTAGGCCCTGTCAAAGTGATCCTGTTCATCAAGTAGGCCTACGGATGTTATCTGGGTTCCCTGTTTTTTACTTCATCATTATGTGTTGTGTCGTCTTTAAATCTGCGATCTAAATATAAGCATTCCTAGATATTTATAATGATCAACCTCAAAAATACAATAATTTCCTCATTTACTTTGTGAAGTTCAGTACTACTTACAGCCAAGTAAGTTTCAATTTTTTTAGAATAACATCTAATGCTAAATTATATTGAATTAAAGTAATGGATTTTTGGATAAGATGCTGAGTGGGTGACTGAGCATAAATTGCAGGAGGCGGAAGCATGAGAATCCAAATTTTCGGAGTAGCGTTTGGAAATCTTTTGAGCGGCAACTGTGAAGAAGTAATCTTGTTCCGTTGGAACATGTATCAAAGGTTTAAATTTATCAAAAAAAATCGTGAATTATAGTGCGCTCAGTTACGTCAGTTCTCTTCAGAGACTATATTATATATTTAAATTAATGGTTTTGTGATTGGCTGTGGGCAGGATTCAAATATTATGATCAACAAACTGTTTGCACATGTATATACTTATATGCTCTAAACTTCCTATATGTGTGTCTCCACCTTTCACTACTGTTCCTTGACCATTTATGTTTATGGACTGGACACACCCATACAATATTTGTTTGCTGTCTGTTCCCACGTGTACACCCTCAAAACTATAGGCCACCACTTTTGTTATGCAGCACCAGCAGTTGAATTCACTGCCTACACAATATCAAGCACTGTTCTTCCTTTCAAAACAACTTACAAATTTTGTCAACATTATCACACACAGTTTACCACTGATCTGATACTGTACCTCAATTAATTAAATGAGGATAAATTTTTATAATAAATATATATTTATAGTGTGGTTGCTTTACACTGATCAGTAATGGAAGGTGCAATGGTAAGTGGCATTTCTTGAATTTTTAATTATTAAAATAATTTCCCATAATAACCCCTCGATTTTCATCTATTTCCATAAGCACCCCCTCAATTTCCACTCTGTTTTCATAAGCGCCCCGTTTGAATAAGCGCCCCTCAGAAAGTGCAAAAAATATTTTAAGCGCCCGGACACTTATTCTCGCGTGTACAGTATATTGAACATGTGCTCGAAATTAACACAATTTCGTTGAGTATTTGGTCAAAAAGCATAATTAAATGGCAGCAAAATGCAACATTTTTACATTATGAAATACTGATCATTTAAATTTTTATAAAATTACAACATTAAAAACATCAAAAGATTACACTAACATAAAATGTACATAAAATATTATTTTAAATACAGACTTAAAAACTAAAATTTATTGTAACATTAAACATTAGGACAATTTTGTTTCATAATTTCGTTGATTATTTTATGAGTATTTGGTCATAAAACGTAATTGTAAGATTAGATCGTAAGGCCCAAAAAAAAAAGTTTGTTTGCCCTCCTCCGCCCGCCGCTCACTCACTGAAAAAAATAATTTTTTTTTTTAGCTTTTTTCTTTACAAATTAAAAAAAAATTTGAGTGAATTTATCTTTATTTTTTGCCAGATGCCCTACAAATTAGTCTAAAGTTGTTGTCTGATGTAAGATATTACCATTCTAGGCCTCTGTGGTTATTTTTTATTCCATCTGATGAGTATTTAAAAAAATAAAAATAAATTTTTTTAAAAACTTTTTTCATCCACCCCTATTTATCATTTTTAAAAAAAGAAGGGCAAACAAACAATTTACTTTATTTGGCCTAATCTTATATATTGATTAGAACATGTATAGCGCCACCTCTGGTGTGGTGAACACAGCCGGGTCATAGAGGTGTCAGTGTGAGCACACTTTGAGCTGTCTGGAAATGGAAATATGGTTTAATTTTCCATTATATGATGTATTGAGATTGATAAATGAGGTCATACTGTAACTTGCTAACCTATCATTGTAACTGAATTTTATCTGGCTGACCTGAGCGTATACCTGGCAAAGTAAATTAAATGAAACAGTTGAATAAACTCATTCATCTCAAACTCAAACTGTGTACATGTAGTCATCTCTACTTTCTCTACAATATTAAATGGCAGCAAAATGCACTATTTTTTTTCAAATATTAACTATAATTTTTTTTAATAAAATTACAACATGAAAAGATTACACTATTAAAAGGTAACACTAACCATAAAAAGTACTATTTTGGGATTTCTTATTATTTTATGTGCATGCTGCACTCCATAACATAAACAAGGCAGAAATCAGTACTCACCCTAACCTACAGTGTGCTGGCTGTAAACCCATGTTTAGAAATTCGTAATTTATCACTCTGACATCGTTTAATTAATTTATTTATTTGTCTCCAGACAAATTTGACATTGGAAGACACCATGAGTTACTGCGTTTATTTGAGCTTAATGTTTTTTTTTGTTTCAAAGAAGTTTTTTTCAGTTAACCTAGGCCCAGGAATGAGAAGAGATGTTCGTTAAATTGCGGCGGAATGAAGAAGTATGGCGTGCCTCTCATGACTAATTATTGAGGCGATGCTTTGTTATTTCACTTTAATTGATTATTATATGAAACAATGATTGAACCGATTTTTTTATCATTGTAGGCAATATTGTTAAAGTTACAGCATACAATTTTAGAAGTACATATTGCTATACACGTAATTGCATACATAATTAAAGAGTTGTGTTTATTGATGTTGTAGACTTTACTGTCATCGTAATAATTTGTAATAAATTTGTATCGTGTCTTTGTTTCTTGTCCGGAATAAGTACATACGATAAATTTAACGAAAATAGATAAAACAAGCCCACAAATTTTAAGATTATATTACTTACTGGAAGGAATTATTGAAAACTACCATAAAAGTATACAATGTTAAAACCACTAAACACACTATGAAGTACATAATGAATGAAAAAAAATTGTCAAGTCTCATCTTGAAGTTTTTTTTTTTTTGGTTTTGTAAGAGCTAATTATGAAAACCTTATTCATAAAATTTCCCATGCAAATTCTTAATTGCATATTTACCAGTTATCTAAAAATTTAAATATTTAAAACCATGATTTTTAGCATGCTCCCAAGGATAACTGACAATTTACCACATTTAGAAATGAGAAGGCTGAGAACTATGAAGCGCCAAGTGTAAATTTATTATTTAATTATATAATTCATTATTTAACATATAATTGTATAGATCACCAGTTATTTATATATAATGCATTTACGTCTAAAACATTATATGTAAATAATTGCATTAATGTTTTTATTATTTATATATAATAAGTGTACTGATTTCATTATATATAAGTAATGAAAGCGTAACCAAACATTATTTATATAAAATAAGGTTACTGGTTTCATTATATATAAATAAGGAAAGGGTAACACATCATTATATAAATAATGAAAAGTAACTTACAATTATTTATATATAATAAGTTCACTGATTCCATTATATATAAATAATGAAAAGGTAACAAGTCCTTATATATAAATAATGGAAAGTAACTTAGAATTATTTATTTATAAGTTCACTGATTTTATTATATATAAATAACAAATTGACTTCAAACTCATTATATATATAATTGCTTTTACATTTCATTTTCTCTTTATAAGAGCTGTCGCAAAACCATTATATGTATATAATGCTTGGACTTCAAGCTCATTACATGTATATAATGCACACACAGGGGCGGATTTTGGGAGGAAAAATAAAGAAAAAAAGAAAGAAAAAGAAAAAAATGTTATTTTCGGGCATCTAGAACACAAAAATTTCTCGAGGCATGCCTCCGGACCCCGTAGGTCATTGTTGTCTCAATCGGCCCAAATTTCGCCCCCCCCCCCTTTCGGACATCTCTGGATCCGCCCCTGACACATGTTATCGTGTCAAGGTCATTATATTTAAAAATGGTTTCTTACTGCCAATTATATATAAATAAACGTTGAGGTCGAGTGCCATTATATATAAATGACATCGTAGGAAGCCATGGTTTATAAATAATTTGTTATGCAAATTACGAAGTAATAAATATTAATCAGTGCTCTAAAGTTACAATTAGGGCCTATTGTGTGTGGTCTACAGGTCGTATACCATCACCAATCGAACCAATCACCCCTCCCCATCGAGATGGATCATATTGTTTTAATACATTTCCATTCATATTGCAGTCATTCAAAAAAATCACTTATTATCTTGCTTGTTAAAACGCAACTTCTGATGTCAAGAGTGGCCAAGTTAGGACAGATTTTTAATCGGACGTGTTGATCCCTTGACTGAAGATAGATTAATTCTGCACAAGCAAATACAAGTCCAAATGAAGGAAATACAAGACTTGATACATTCAAATATAAATGCACACAAATTACCTGTAGTAGACTGTACGTAACACCTGATTTATTCATGTGCATGCTCATGTTCTGCAATACTGTAGTCATGATTATTATCAATTATCTAAAGAAGCAAGGGATGAGCCATCACTACCTGAAACGGTCATTCTGAAACAAGTTCACAATGTTAGTTTCAGTAGATCACCTGTCCTTTCAAGTTCATTCAGAAGGTCCTTGATTATACTCACAGTCCAATTTAGACTATTGAAACAGAGATCCATATTAACATCTGCATACACCTAAAGGTTCGTATACCTCGACAATGCACAGGATACAAAGGCTGCCTGCATCAAGTCTCAGCCCTGCTCCAACACACCACCGCGCCAGTCCAGTCCAGAATGAAAAAGAGAGCCAGCTCCTGGCTACAAGCCCTTTTCTTCAAAAACCACGAAATCCTGTCAGCCAAAAATTACCATAACAATACGAACAACAATCCCCATCGACTACAGAGGGCATAACAAAATTACAATTCAAACGCATCAACATTTTTAAGCTATCAACAACAATGATCAACAACTCTGGGGATGTAACATACCAGAGAGCTTGCACCCAGTTAGTACCAAGTAATTCAGCTTCGGAAAGATAGTCAATGGTTTGGCTAAATCAGCTCCACTGATTGAGGAAAGATCAACAGCACTAATATCCAACGAAATGAGATTAGGCTGAATGTTATGACCATCACACTTTCTTGCATGTCAACTTAGACACATTCCCCGTAAAAGAATAGTACATGTATGTGAAAATCATTTCATGCAGTAAATATGCAAGTGACAGTCCATCGATGTCTGAAAAATGATTTTCACAATTTTGCAGGCATTTTTAATACAACAATCATTTACAACATTGGGAAATATAATTTCTTTATGCCTCTTTTTCCTATATTCAATCAATACAGTAAATCTCTCACATTACTTCCCGACAAACACTTATACATATCAATACAAAGCTTAAGAACAACCAGAAGTTAAGATATAATACAGGCCATATCTATATCACTCACATCATTTTCATTTAGCTCTAACAGCTCTTTTTGTTAAAAAGGTTATTAGGCATTTTTTGTTAAAAAGGTTATTAGGCATAAGGTTAGTAATGATGTAAGTTAGTGTAACACAGTGATGTCAATATTCTCTCCGAGTTTAATAGTGTCACTAAACTCATTTTAGGATCTAACAAGAAATCGTGTATCTTAGATCTGATTTCCACTAGACTCCTTGTTGCTCCATGAAAAACCATGAACTGTATTTGTGAATTGCGCACTTGGATGCGATCAAATGGGTTAATGTAAAATGACAAGAAAACAGAATTTTTAGTGATTGGTACACAACAACAGCTTGATAAGCGTAACTTTCCTAGTATCCAAATAGGGGCGTCCTCAATTGCTCCTGTCTCTGGTGCTCGTAACTTAGGGTCATGGTTTGATAGCGACATGTCTACGAAATCGCATGTTACCAAGATATGCAGCTCAATAATTTACTTTTTACATAATATTAGACACATTAGCAAATATTTAACAAATAAACGCACAGGAATGTTAGTTTATGCAATAATCACTAGTTGTCTAGATTATTGTAACAGTCTCTTATGTGGTCTACCCGATTACTAAACTACAACATGTGCAGAATTGATCTGCTCGTCTTGTTTGCAATAGAGGTAAATTCTGTACATTACGCCATTATCATTTGAGTTACACTGGCTCCCAGTATGGTATAGAATAAATTTCAAAATTTTGTTGCTTACGTATAAAAGTGTTAATGGCTATGCTCCATCTTATTTAAGTTACTTATCGCTAAGAAACCTCGTTCTCGTTATAGTCTCTGTAGCAATGATGATTTAATCTTAAGTTATCCAGTTTGTCGCACTAAAGTCACACAAGGTGACGTGCATTTGAATATGCAGCACCTCAGCTGTGGAATGATCTGCCACCTTTTATTAGGGAAGCTGGTAGTCTAGAGATTTTTAAAACACTGTTGAAAACACATTTTTTTCACTATTGCTTTTAACAAATAATTTACTATTGTACTTCCTGTACTTGTCAATGTTAATGGTTTTACTGTAATATTGAATCGTAAATTTTTATCCATTTTAATTGACTTTTAAATATTGTGTAATACGTCTTTTGACCATATTTTTATGGAATTTAAATGGTTTTACTCTAATATTGAAATGTCAATTTTAATCTATTTTAATTGACTTTATGTAATGCGTCATTTGAACATATTTTTATGTAATTTGCGCAATATAAGTGAATAAATTATTATTATTATTATAAATTAACAGCTCTAAAGCTAACTCATCTCCAGTTCTGTAAATGCGCAGATTACTTCATTGACATCTTTAACTGATAAACCACAATTTACAACAGTAAGTACACTAAGCATTGGTGCATAATGTAGTTCATGAATCAGGGCTGATGCACTGAGGCTAATAGAATAAAATGTAATGTAATCCATATTGTATTTAAAATGAAATTTTTCAAACTCAACACTAATACCCTGAATAACATCAAAAATTACAAAATGAAACACTACTTGACACAGAGTTGACACAACGCCTTACTGCAGTTACAAAAACGTCTTCAGCGTCAAGTACATCCTGATGTATTTTTTTAAAGAGAAGAAATATATGTTCATTATCTTTAACTTCCACACTCTGAACACTATGCTAGAGGAAGCCTCTCAAACCTGTGCATACATCTTCAAGAAATGACATAGTGTCAGGGATTTTCTTTGCAATGTATTCTTCTAATACCAAGAGAACTTGCTCTTCATGCTCTTTCTTTACAAAGTTAAGATATCTTGCTAGAAAACAATTCCAAATAGCACTATCTGTATTCCAATGTTTAAGAAATTCACCAGCATCAGCACCTAGGAATCCTATGGCAAACACTCGTTCTCATAAGAAAAATATAGAAAATTATTATTAGAGGGCATTTAAAGGTGTTTAAATGTTGGAATCTTGTCTTCAAAGGAATAGTGTTGAATTAGTTATCACAAAGATATTTCAATTATAGACATGGACTGCGCACAGCTCGGCTACGGTTGTTTACTCACAATTTTTCTAGGCTATGCAGATGCATCTTCATCTCTTGCCCTACTAGTCTAGCGTAAATTCTTCTCTAGGTCCTCCGAATCAAGAGATAGGCCAAGGCCTACTGTATTTTGTTGACTAATAAAATTTAACTTGTGATGTTAAATGTTCTTTACTATATTATGAATTCATTATAACCAGAAAGTTATGAACACCAAGAATACATACTATATTATGTCAGGGAACCGAATCTCATGTACTGTATATGCAGAGCCACTTGCATTCGTTGTGGGTGACTCAGAACCATCCATTTTCCAGTGGGGCATAAATGTTTTTTACACGACGCCCTTTGCAAGTGAACTAGCCTTACATTTTTGGTAATCACCAGAAAATATTGGTATGAAAACAACATACATCCAATCAACAAATGTTGTTTCTATCAAACATAAATATGATTTAGCTTTTAGTTTAATGTAACATTCGATAGATTTGAAGAATTTGCTAAAGTAGACTAGGCCCAATTAAGCTAGGCCGAGCTATTAGTTCAAGCTGTCACGGTAAAAGTGGCTGTCTTAAATAACTGTTGGTCTTCCAAAAGACGACCGGACGGCTCGCTGGCTAAAAAATCCCCTGTTTGCAGACAACCTCCTTTTTAAGAAAATATTGTATCCAAAAACTCCAAGATTCAAAGAAGGGTCCATGTGTGGGTTCATAGACTATGTATGACGTACCACCTGATTTATTAGAACATGTCCATATTCTGAAGATGACGTCATGATCATTATTATCAACCATCTTAAGAAGCTTAGCAAAGGATGAGACATAAATGTCTGAAAAGTCATTGCCAAATGAGTTAACAATACCATCTGTATTTTCAAGTTTATTCAGAAGGTCCTTGATTACGTTAAAAGACAGTTGGCACCCACTTAGTACCAAGGCGACCAGCATTGGGAAGACAGTCAATAGTTTGGCTAAATCAGCTCCACTAATTGAGGACAGATCAACACCACTAACATCCAATATAGCAAGATTAGGTCGAATGTTATGCTTATCACACTCATGTATTAGGTCTTTCAAATTCTTGCATGTCAACTTTGGCAAACTCCACAAAAAATAGTCTGTGGAACCAATTTCCAAGAGTAAAAATGTAAGTGATTTTCCATCGATGTCTGAAAGATCATTTCGAAATTTTCCCCCTAGAAATGAATTAACAGTATCTTCAGAATTTTTAATAACAATGGGTAATATGATTCCTTTTTTTTTACACATCCTTTTCTTATATTCTGTCAATAAATCTCTCACATTAGCTCCCAACAGACAACACTTATACATATCAATATGAAGCTTAGGAACAACAAGAAGTAAAGAGATAATAGAGGACATATCAATATCACTCAGATCATTACAATTTAAATCTAATTCCTCTAAAGCTAGCTCATCTCCTGTTTCTATAACTTCACGGATTACTTCATTGACATCTTTACCCGTTATGCCACTATTTACAAGATTAAGAGTAGTAAGCATTGGTGCATAATGTAGTACATGAATCACAGCTGAAGCAGAAATCCTACTAAAAGCAAATGAAATGCAATCCGCAGAGTATTTAAAATTGAATTTTTTAAACTCGGCATTAAGAGCCTGGATATTATCTTGATGGCCATATATATCAGGATTTCGAAACATACTGTTAATAAATAGTGGAGAATCTTTAACAAATATAATATGTGCAAATGTTTGTCCAAAATTACAAAATGAAGCATTCCCTGATAGGGATTTGAACCATTTCCTCACTGTGGGTACAAACTTCAACTCATCAAGCTGAAGCATTTTTTTAACAAGAAATAATATATGTTCATCATCTTCAACTTTCACACTTTCTACATTATGCCGGAGGAAGCTTCTCAGGGATGTGCATACATCTTTAAGAAGTGGCTTAGTATCAGGGATTCTCTTTTCTATGTATTCATCTAATACCAAGAGAACTTGCCCTTCATGCTCTTTCTTTACTAAGTTAAAACACCTTGCTAGAGCACAATACCAACTAACATCATCTGTGATCCAATGTTTAAGAAATTCACCTGCATCAGCACCTAGGAATCCTATTGCAAACACTCGTGACATGCCCAGATATGGATTTGCCCTAATTGTGTCTCCTTCATCAATCGAGAAAGATCGAGTATGTCTGCATAAGTAGAACCCTACTAATGACTCAAAAATCAACTTGTGAGGGGTCATGAAAATCTGACTAAAGTCATCTTCCACAGTAGGTTGTTCCTTGTAAACAAATCCAAGTTTTATTGCAAGATCTACGGTTTCCTCATCACCTTCCAAATCATTTCTATTTATAAACAACCTATTATTTTGTATGGATTTATACATGCATTTACCTAAAATTTCTAAAGCTTTAACATATTTTTTAGAAGCCTCCTCAAATTTACTGATTGGTTTGTCAGTGCCACTGCGGTTCATGTACTGATTCAAAATGCATCGGAAGATTTCTTTGAAGAGAGTTGGCATATCCACTGGAATACACTGATTTTCCTTCCATACTGTACATATCTTTAGTAACAACATTGGTGATCTACATATCTCAAATGCTTCACGATGTCTTCCTCCCCATTCATATTTATCTTTTCGGTCAAGATGCAACTCTGTAATTAAAGACTCTCCTAACTCTGGCATTTTAATGTATTTAAAGTGCTTTCTGATATAAAACTTGATTTTACCTGGGCTGAATCCCTCCACTCTGACATGGACATCACATTTCTTAACAATCATATGTACATTCTCAGGACGTGATGTCAGTATAACTTGGCTGTTCTCCAATTCCTTTCTTTCAAATAAACTAACTGGATCTTGAGCACTTTTTTCCAATTCATCATACCCATCCAGTAACAATACAATCTCATCATCACGTTCCATTAAAAAATCTACAATCAAACCTGTATCTAACTTTGTTTTTCTATCAAAATCTTTCTTGTTAATTTGTCTAATAATCACATCAACAACATCTTCATCTTTTTTTAAATCTCTGAGATTGACAAGAAATACAATTTTTTCTGGGAAAGGATCATCAATCTTATTAGCCCAATGATACGCAAGATGTTTTAAGAGTGTTGACTTTCCCATCCCGCCTTTACCTTCTACAAAAACTTTACATGCTCTCTGAGACTGTATCAAACTAATTAGCTCCTGTAGAGTTGTATCTTTACTGGTATTATCATGTCCTTTTTTTTTGAGTAGCTCGAGATCTGTGAATACTTCTGCAAGATCAATTTCAGACTCTTGATTCCAGGTTGGAGGTGTCATTTTGTTCAAATTCTTATATACTTTTCTCTGCCACTGATCCAAGTAATTTCTGATGACCACTTCTGAAAACAAATCAGTAATAATAATATTTATCATTTTTGCTTTCTTGTATTCATTGAATTTAAATTTTAACCCGAGAAATTTCAATTGGGAGGCTTGGTCGGAATAGCAGTCAAAAGCAGGCGCATGGGCGGTTCCCATCTGGGGAGTGTGAAAATTGTAAATGCGGAATCAGTGGTGTAACAAAGGGGCCGAATGTCCCGAGCCAGGCGCTGGGGCCAGGGAACTGAACCCCCCAGCCGCTCCAGTGTTTGTAGCATTTTGTGATGTATTTTAATGTCTTTTTTGGCACAACCGAGTTCTTTAAGGGGAGCTCTGGGTTTAAATTTCTTATTTTATATAGGTTATTTGTGAAATCATAAGAAGTTATAAAATAAATCCCAACAAAAAAGTTGCAAGTTTATGGGAGTAAAAAAGAAATAAAACTGTACGAGGAAGGATAGTTGAAATCCAGGCTGAGCATGCTTTTCACTAGCTTGGTAATCTTACAAGAGAATCATTCATATTCATGATCTATCCTGTACAAAAGACTCATTAATATTTATGTTACCTTCCTGCCTGTCCTGGCTTCACGAAATGTCTGTGTGTTGAGTGAGCGATGGTGTGTTATGTTAAAATATCTCCATAGGTAATGGTTGTCTCAGTTTTGAGATCTGTTCAATGTACTAATGTGCAAACTAAAGAGATAGCCTAGCTCAGGTTAAAAACTTGCACTGTGTTGTAGGCCCTACTAATTGTGGCAATAACACACAGATAGGCCCCTACCCTTCAACACCATGCCCTACTCTACAAAACACATCCCCTTTTGTCAGAAAGTTTGTGCATTTTAGACATTGTCATTGGAGTTTACTGTAATTATTTTGACAAATTAATTATACTGTAACTCCATGGTTGGACTGGGCCTAACCAATACCACCGTCCAGTATGATATATTTTTTTTTTTATGATTTTTAAAATCATGTTAACATTTAAAACCTATTAATTCCGGTTAGGCTGTTGTTTCTACTACACATTTCCCCAGTACTCTGTTGTGTACTGTATAGTTGCCAAGACAGAATTCTTCGTGGTGTTATTATCGCTACCTGCAGACCCCGGATTAGTTAACACCCTGTCTCTTATACACATCTAGATGTGTATAAGAGACAGGTATTGATTTTGAATTACTGTAGTGTTTATTCACATTTGGGATAAAAAATGAGTTTTTATAAGTTGTTTTATGACTAGGCATATTTATATAGGTTTATATGTGTCTCCAGTGGCCTATTCGAGTTCTACTTGCTGCCCTGCAAATTTTCTATTGTAGTACAAGGCAGGTCAAGGCTTAGGCCTACACCTGTCTCTTATACACATCTCACCAGTACTTATCACATAAAATTTCATAGTATGGACAAAGTTTTAATCAATTATTGCCAACATTTTATTATTGGTGGGGAGGTGATCTTACAAGAAACTTAAGATATGTTTCCACTGGCAAAGAAAAACCTTTCCCAACTGCTAGTTCTTTCAAAGAAATTTTTCTGTGGTAGTAGAAACAGGAGCCGCAAAAAGAATTGATTAATTTATCATACCAATTGGCCTGAAATATCTTGTGTGTCAAGCAGGCCAATGGCATTTTAATTTTTGGAATATCCAGGCCGTGGTAAGAATATCTTGATTTTCTGAGAAAAAAAAAGATGAGTCATCAAATATTGAAGTTCAGTTCACACGATAATGGTTTTAATTCAGAGGCGTAGGGTGGTTACCGAGCCAGGCGCTGGGGGACAGAGGAGCCATAAAAAGCCTCTGTGCCGCTCCAGTGTTTGTAGCGTTTTGTGATGTATTTTAATGTCTTTTTTGGCACAACCGAGTTCTTTAAGGGGAGCTCTGGGTTTAAATTTCTTATTTTATATAGGTTATTTGTGAAATCATAAGAAGTTATAAAATAAATCCCAACAAAAAAGTTGCAAGTTTATGGGAGTAAAAAAGAAATAAAACTGTACGAGGAAGGTTAGTTGAAATCAAGGCTGAGCATGCTTTTCACTAGCTTGGTAATCTTACAAGAGAATCATTCATATTCATGATCTATCCTGTACAGAGACTCATTAATATTTATGTTACCTTCCTGCCTGTCCTGGCTTCGCGGAATGTCTGTGTGTTAAGTGAGCGAGGGAGTGTTATGTTAAAATACCCCCGTAGGTAATGGTTGTCTCAGTTTTGAGATCTGTTCAATATACTAATGTGCAAACTAAAGAGATAGCCTAGCTCAGGTTAACAACTTACACTGTGTTGTTTTACAGTCTTGTAGGCCCTATTAATTGTGGCAATAACACACAGATAGGCCCCTACCCTTCAACACCATGCCCTACTCTACAAAATACATCCCCTTTTGTCAGAAAGTTTGTGCATTTTAGACATTGTCATTGGAGTTATACTGTAATTATTTTGACAAATCTCCATGGTTGGACTGGGCCTAACCAATACCGTCCAGTATGATATATATATTTTTTTTTTAATGATTTTTAAAATCATGTTAACATTCAAAACCTATTAATTCCGATTAGGCTGTTGCTTCTACTACACATTTCCCCAGTACTCTGTTGTGTACTGTATAGTTGCCGAGACAGAATTTGAGGCAAACGTCAACGAAATTTGATAATTTCAAGGGTCTACCCTTTTTTCCAATTTTGTCCCCAAGTTTTAAAATATTCAAAAATCTATATCTCATTAACCTCAGTTTTTCTTCAAATTTTAAGAAAAAAAAATTAAGATGTCTGTATTTCTATCGGCAATAAAAAATAATGTATTTTTATCTTAATTTTGTCTTTTTTAATTGTGTTTCGAAGATTTTCTATATAAATACATTTCCAAACAAAGAAAGAAATGTAAACATTTACTGTATATTTTTGTTTGTTTTGTGTGGGGCATCCCACATCTATTTCATATAATCAATCATTCTACAAATCAAACATGAAAATCTTAACTAAATACAGTACGATATTGCAACTTGCAATATAAATTTGCCGTAATAATTTCAATTTCAAGCATATTTTTAAAATTGTTTATGTACTTTAACCTAAATCCTAAATACTTTCCGAGCAACTAGGGCTCATAGGGCTGGAGCTTATCCCAGTTCCTGTAGTGTGATGAAACGGATGAGACACTAGTCCGTTGCAGGTTAGTCCCCTGCAATTTTCCGGTACCCATTGATACAGCTGTGTGGGCTGAAGCAATGTAGCTAAAGTGCTTTGCCCAAGGACGGAAGTGAATCTGCAAAGCTGAAATTCAAAACCCCAAACTTTCCATTGAAAGCCCTAACTTCAACCACTGCGTCAAACTACGCTTATTATTTTAAAAGCCTATTTAATAGGAAAGATATAACCGACCTCAATCGATGTTATGCAGTCGTATGCAGTTTTATGTTTTTTATGTTTTAAGTTTCATTAATCATGAATGATTTCTCATAGTCATAAGCATGCGCACTAAAGAACTTCCTAATTAATTATATCAAACTACTCAAAAGATCCATAATTCTATTTATACCTACATTGTTTGTATGGCAGTTTGACTCCCCCCATTATGCAACTTAGGGGATCAGAAGCTCAACCTCAAGATACAGTTTTTGAGTAGTTGTTTGAAATATAAATAAACAAAATGAAATGAGACACCAATAAATAAATTCATAATCTTCAAAAAATCTCACCATTGTTTCTAGATGCTGATAAATCTGTGTCCTTTGGTTCTAAGAAGATAAATAAAAATGTTAGAACTGTACATGCTAATTTTCAATTTATTTTCTTTGTTAACAGCAAATGAGTCATACAAGTTAGAACTGATGTTCTATAAACATAAATTAGTCTAATTCTAATGTTTCTGGAGTGGAGTCTGGGAATTTGCAAATTTTAACCAAAAGACCTTGAAATACGTGGTAAGTATCTTTACCACCATCTTTACTTCACAATACATTTACACATTTACAGTACATGCTATAAACATCTAGTTTTAAGTATTTTTTCAAAGAATTTATAACATAATATATTATAAAAAATATCAATATGCACAATCTATCACAGAAAAGAGTAGTTCAAACTATACCTTGATTCACTGTAATTGTGTTGTTAACAACAAGTGTTTCAACATTACAACCTATGATCTGACTTCCTATTATAGAACCTAAAATGAAAGAATTCATTATAATTGGAAAGGTAAGCATATTGCCCTCAATCAACAATATGTGTGAGTATGAATACATTTTTGGGTCAAAACATGGCATAGGGACCAATTTCTATTACTGGTTAAAATGTAAAGATTTAAGATTCGATTTTAAGTTTTGAAAATAACAAATTTTATATTCAGTACATTTTCCAATTTGTGTGGGGAGGAGTGCATGCTGTACATATCTACACCCAATTTAGAGAAATTCCTTTTAAATAATACCTGAAGTCAAAAATTTGCTGTCTTTTAACTAAGCCTGAACAGCTTCGCTCGGAATCAACAGACAACCTAGTTTACCTATCGCACCCTCCTGGGTTACGCTACGTTGGAATCTATGCATCTCTTGAAACAGAAGAATATCATCGGACCGGTCATGTCATAAACGTTCAGGTTGGAGTATGGTAATAGATTTAGGATTCTTTCATATATATTTCAAATTTGAAACCAGATAGATTGTTTTAACAGAAATAGATGAGAAATTCAACAGCATCAAAATAAGAAAAGATTTAGTTATTTTTTTTTACCTTTATTGTTTTGACTAATTATTTTATTCACTATGCAAGCTCCTGCTGAAAAATATAAGTAGTTTAAATTGAATTATAAGCAAAACATTTATTAGTAGAAATAAACATCTGCAGCCACAGTGCAGACACGATGTATTTAGTCTCTAACCTAACAAATATGTCAATTAAAAACTGACAATGTCAGCTGAAGCTTATATTTATGCCAACTGCAGTGCGACCAATGTCAGTGGGTAGTAATGCAACAGTGGCAGATAAAATTTTTAAAATTTCTTGCCTTTTGCACTGAACAGAATTAAACCATTGTATTGGTTATTGATTCCATATAGTCTGAGGTGTCTAGTCCCTCCTTCTGTAACTGTAACGTTTCTTGTATGGGGTATTGTATTACAATAACTACCTTCTGTGATCTAATATTACCTAATTCTAATACCCAAAGTATGTGATTTGTATATTCATTAAAGGATTTGTAGAAAGAAAGAAGGTAAAAAATGCTGGAGAGGTTATGATCCATTGTCACTCCAAGAAATGGCTAATTTTTAATGAAATTTTATCAATAAAATGTATTTCAGCATACAGGACATATATGTCATCAGGTAATGTCATTTGATATTACCTGTTATGTACATCATTCTCAACATATTCTGTTAATGTTTCACTACAGCAGAATTACATATTTTCTAACCGGGTGCTGGGATCACTGAGTCTTCATGATCACAAATAACACATTTTGACAGTAATGATGTTGTAGTTCCACTTTTACAGTGAAATAAACAGCGTTTTGAGTATGTATCCATTTTACAACCAAAAAATAAATGCCTCCCTCAAATAAATGCCTTTATTTCTAATACTGGAAGCGCTTGACTTGAGAGAAGCGATAGGGATTGTGCATTCATAGGATGTGTAGAATATAGAAATGATTACCGTTTTTTATACATAAAATTCTATCAATGAACAAGACAACTGAAGTTGGCAAGTAATGCAATTTTATATTACCTGTAGATGCACTTGTACAAGCATTTGTTGTAGCATCTGTGTCATCAGACACCATATGATTCTCTTGGCTCTCTGAAACATGCACTGAAATTGTAATAATTTTATATGTTGTTTGTATTAAAGATAGTAAACCACCTGCATTCTATATTATAACATGTGTTTATGTGTTATAAACACATTTTATGTTGATCTTTTATATTTAAGATAAACCATCTGCATTTTATATTACCTGTAGATGCACTTGTACAAAGATTTCTTGGAGCATTTGTGTCGTCAGTCACCAAAAGCTTCTTTTGGCTCTCTGAAACACAACACAAGTGATTGTAATAATTTTAAATGTAGTTTTGTATTAAATATAGTAAACCACTTGCATTTTATATTAACACAACACATTTTATGTTTTGCATTTAAGATAAACCATCTGCATTTATATTACCTGCGGATGTACTTGTACAAGCATTTCTAGGAGTATCTGTGTCATCAGTCACCATAGTCTTCTCTTGGTTCTCTGAAATATAACACACATCATAGATTCTAATTGTTTATGTTGTATTAATTACAACTATCCAGAATTTAAGCTAACAAAATGGCTTTTAATTGAATAACAAATAACAAAATTTTATTTCCAATTTTACAGAGACAAATTATGTAATTGCAGACACCTTCTTGCTTGTACTCAATATATATTAACATTTTCTTATCAGTATAGCATGCTTTGCTTCATTAGGATTTAACAATTTATTTGACCCATTATTTATTTATTAATATTTAGTAGTAGTAGTACCTCAAGTTTTTAATTTTTCAACTTTTTAAAATCTCTCTTTTAATAAAAAAAAATTAATTAGAAATACACTCCTTTATATGAACTTTATACATCAGTTTATGCTTCTTTTCTGCTAAAGGGCATCTTTTAAAATTAATCAGTGTCAAAGTTATGAAGCTCTCCAATAATAATAAGGAACACATTTTTAAAAATAACAATAAGGGCTTCTTTTAAAAGCCTTCCATCTTTTAAAATAAATTAATCAAATGGTGTAAAAGTTAATAAAGCTGTCAAATAATAATAAACAAATTTTTAAAAATAATAAATGTAAGGTCATACAGCTAATAATGCTTACCTGCAGAGGTTTTTGAGCTATCATCTTTTGTAGCAGCATCACCAGTGCCTCTCAATCCTAGAGGGTCTTTACGTGAAACTAATATATGGTATGTTGTTATATTTTTCATAAAGTCATCCAAATTTTCTTCACAAAACACCTTATTTTGTTCCAAGTCCACAAAGAATTTCCAAACGTCTTCCTTTTGTGGACAATTGTATCTTTGAGAAATATACTTGAGATCATTTTCAACGAGACTTTCAATCACCTGGATCAGAATTTGTCTGTTACGAGTAATATTGGAGATTTTGGCTGTCCTAATATCAAAGCATGTTGACGACAACTTCCAGAATTCTGGTTCCAAACCAAATGGATGAGTAACATTGATAGTATCATATAGGACAGTTAGATTATTGGAACTTAGATGTCCCGAGGTAATTAATAACTCAAACAAATGAAACACCTTAGTGGCAGCATACAGCTTATCAAGTTCTGATACAAGATCTCTGTACAAAACTTTCAACTTGTTGATGTATCCATGGCGATCATACCACCTTGACATGGATGACATTATTTCTTTGAAGTCTGTATCATCAGATATTCCTACAAAAAAATGAAATTATTTGAGGAAATATTACAGCTATTAACCTTTGCATTCCTTCAATGGGTAAAATGGGCTATGCTAAATGACAGAATGCATCATTCAAGATTGGCCCACCTGTTGCTTGTACAAAGCTACGTCATCTTTTCAGTGCCAAAGCATCCTTAGGATGAAATTGTCATTACTCAGCATACACAGCCAAGTACAGTATGTGCACATGGGTGCAACACTGACCAAAATGCTGCCTATATACAAGTACTATCTGTCTATTCATTTTTCTATATTCCTTTTTGTATATTCATATAGTTATAGGCTTATGCATATAAAATTTTATAATGCATACATAATGATTACCCACTTCATATAACATTACTTTATTAATTACTTTGAAATTAAACCAGGACTAAAAGTCTGAAAGGATAAATGAAGGTTTCAAATGTTACCTTGGTTGTAATCCATGTTTTCTCATTAACACTTCCAATGTTTGAGAGTTTTGTGATGCAAAACACTTCAGCCTCAGCTGCTATTTGTAATCGTCTTCTATATTTTTATACCTGAATAATAAAGTAGAAAAATTAGATATAATGAATGAATGTGAATTATAAAAATATAAATTAAAGTAGAAATCTTAACCAAACCCACTGTTAATTATCCTGTACTACAACCAGACAATAAAAAATGCCTTTTTAAGCAGTTGATATGGAGGAGCATACACTTACATTATTATTGCAATTTTTTTTAGTAAAACCATCCACAAAACATTAGATCAAATCCAAAGAGTAACAATAATCAGCTGACAATGTAATAGGCAAGAAGAAAGGTCCTAACGTTGTGAAATGGAGTAATTGAACAATACCAGTTTATAGGGCTATACAGTAATTTTTAAGAAATTCATAATTTGACTTTCTAAGTAATAAAAAGCAAAAACTTATTTTTTTCTTTTTAAATTAAAATGCTGATTTTGTTTTTTATCTTTCATTGAGAAATTGAAAATGAAATATGCATTTAGAAATAATATTAATAAATAATAATTTTTTAAAATGTTTTTTTTTTTTTTGAAGTGGTTCATTTGCTCTGTAATGTAACATGTATGTTTTATGTTACGATATGAATAATTATTAATTTAAAAAAAAACTTCAGTAAAGTTATTTGATGGATACATTATTCATGTTAAAAACATCAGTGTTTATTTCATAGTAGACAGTATAGTTGGTAGATTTTTGGAGCTCCTACATATCAAAAGATTGTACTAAAGGTGAATTTGCTCATTAAAGGGGGCTCCAGGTTTAAAATTTCTACTAAAATATATAAAGAACAGTCAGTTTGCACCTTGCTAATATGAGCGCGGTAGTGCAGAACAAGCGCTGCAATACGAGTCCCGAATACAAGTGGTGGCATTACTCAAATTACAGTGTATTATTACATAGGAAAATTCCTAAAATGGACTAACTTTCGAAATACATGCTGAAGAAAACACATTCATTTTATCAATTCTTACATAAGTTTATCTGATCTTTTCATTAGGTTTTATTTTACTAAAATGCCTCATAATATAATAATTATATTAAGTTAGAGTAGAACCATTGAACTTTTTGTTTCAGTAATTATGCAGCAATCTGGGGAGTCGGTCACATGGTTCAATTTTTCTGGGCAATCTTAATTCTCACCGGTCAGCAGGGAAAATACATCGCGAGAGAAATAACTTGGCTGTCCTTACTAAATAGGACTATAGGATGTTGTTTCTGAATCCAGAGATCCCAAGTCTCCCGAAAATCGCGGATTTCTCCCGATTTTTTAGGCCATCTCCCGCCCTCCCAAACTTTCGCCCAATTTTTTTTTAAATCCTGAAAATTCCATGAAAAATGTACTTTCTGCGAAGTCATAGAGCAATGAAACAAAATTTATTATTTGAAGCCAATATATTATGGCACTTGTTCAACCATCAAAGTGTCATAAGCTAGACCAGGGAGTTTTTATTTAAGTTCCAGCTCCATGGCAAGGATAGGCCTAGATCTGTGGTAGACTCGCCTTTTGTTTATCCTCCATTTACGATCTTTTGCATCCAGCGCCGACCTCAATCAATGAGATGACTTTCAGTTGAGTAAAAATTTCAAAATTTAATGGTTTTTCATGGCATTATGTACCAGTTATTATAGGCTAGACATAAATGCTGACTTAAAACATGTTGTATGATTTACTAAATTAAAATATATATGTTTTTAATTTCTCAGCAAGTTGCAGTTACTTTGCTAGAATTCTATGTTATTTGAAGAGATGTAGTAAATCAGCAGTAGCCTCTCATATGTCAAGCATGAACCAAGCCTTGTTGACTGCTGCCAAGAGCGCTCTACTAGCACAATGCTAAATAAATACTGTAATTTATACTTTAAATTTATAAATTTATATTTTAGGCCAACTGCAGTGTGTAAACAAATGTAAAATTGTTAAATAAAAGTATACAAATTGATAAAAAAACAGTGTTTCCTTCTTTTTGTGTAACACTTTCATGTTGCGCAGCACGTTGTAAGGCGTCACAGCGCGTCGCTACAGGAGGCAATTGCTTCACGAAAAAATCTCCCTATTTTTTGCTTTCCCAATTTGGGATCTCTGTGAATCAGTATGGCATATAAATTTTAAAAAGGCAAGACAGAAAGGCTGCAAATGCATAGGCCTGCAAAATGTAATTCCAGCTTACAAGTTAAGATGGAGGCTAAGATTTGAATACAAAGCCATTATCAGCAACACCAACACACACGTAGGCCTACTAGCCTTTGCCTATCTAGCTATTCGGCATAACTGGTCTTGAGGGCACAACCTGTAGCAGTTGTGATGGGGAGGCTATGCTCTAGGATAGGTCCTATGGCCTGCTTATAATTTGTATACTAAAAATAAAATCAGACTATGCCTAATATTTAACGATTAGCGCATACTATTAACCGAAACGATGATATTACAATCCAAAAGGTTCTTTTCAGAACCAAAGTATAGACCTGTCAGGAAAAATTTGGTCCAGGGCCAAAATCAGTCCGGCGTCTATTTAATAGTTATAACTTGTATTTTTATAACATTGTTCATATTTTTTTTTGTAATCAAATGATAGATAAATATCTTATCTCTTATTGTATAGCCTAATATGTTTTCATTCGTCTTGAGGATATTTCCCGTACGATTAAAATCGTAACGGTACTGGGTTTGGTCTAAAGGAGCTCGTGTTCCGTACAGGTCATTCCATTCATAGAAAAAGCCTTTAATGGTGAAAGCGTAGTCATTAGCCGTAGTAGCCTTGGTCAATACATAACACCGGCTGTATAATATTTATTATAAGATTGAAAATGTTAATCTTATTATTGCAGTAGTGATACACTATGTACACTGTTTAGTTATTGTTATTTATTCGTTAACGTTATCATATTAATATATAAATTTAATGTATTGTTTAAGTATGAATTACTATGTCCATGTTAAATTAATTTTATCTATTAAAATTGTATATTTAAATAATATAGTAAGAGGCACTGATAGCCGAGGTCTAGCCTAGACCAGTCCTAAAACAAATGAATATGTGAGTGTATAAAACTATGAAAAATATGAAGAAAAAAATGCAAAATTGTGAAAGAATAAAGAAAGAAGGAAGAATAGGAAAGAGATTTGGAGCG